GAGTTTCAAGAGCTCGGCCAGAGCATTTGTGACCCAGTTTGTAGGGGGACGATGTCGGAGCCGACCTGTGGCTTATCTGTTAACTATTAAATAGAGGACGACAGAGAGTCTACACGACTATGTAGCTCGGTTCAACGAGGAGAAGCTGCAGGTAGAAGTCCTTACAGATGCTGTATCTCTGCTGGCCTTCATCTCCGGCGTCAGGGATGAGCATTTGTCATTTTCGTTTGGAAAGAAAACATCGAGTACTTTCTCGGAGGCGCTGAGCCGAGCTCAGAGGTACATGAGCGCTGGTGAGTTCTTTTACTCAAAAAGGGAGCTAGACGGAAAGCGAACCGACCAAAAGAGGGAGAGATGGAGAACAACGAGTATCGCGGGAATGCTACTATACCTCAATGAGGGGCAACGACAGGACTTCTACTAAGGGGGACTGTTGACCTTTCCTTTCTTCCTTCAAATGTGGTTGCTTTTGTTTCTCTACTTTTAGCAAGATTTTTAATTATTATTTCTTTTATTCAATAAAGTATCCATTTGTTTAGTTCTCTGTCAACTATGTCTCCTAAATCCAAAACGAGATACCGAGCGACTTTGATAAAACACATTGCCTCGTCTACAAGCGTACTCTCAAGAGATATCGACAATACACTACCTTGAGAGTAGGGGGCAATATGGCTCAACTCTACACCGCTACGGTAAAACCAACTCTAGCCGAGCAGGCCGAGCAGGGCTCGTGGCCAACCACTGCTCGAGTCCAATCACTGTTCGACGTAGACCAAGTGCAAACAGGCACCAATCTACATTAATTGGCAGTTTTATAAGATAACATATTTTTACCAATAGGTCTTATTTTCGACTGAGCAGGGCTCGAGTCCGACCACCACTCGACGCCGACCACGGGCGACGAAGCACGAATCTACTTTAATCGACACATTTGGAAAGAACAATTAAACAATCTCAACACGGCCAAACCAGAAGCGGGTCGATTGACCTAGCACGATTAAAACATGAGATGGAGTAAAAGGCCAAAAACGACAGCAGGTGTAAAACCATTGGCTATGGCCAACGGGTTAGAAATCTACGGAAATGAAAGCAACAAAACTCCATCAGAGTTAGAGCCGTAAGCCAATAAGTGATTGGTAAGAGGGTTAATTGATAAATCCAAAGAAAAGAACTACGAGCAACGTAGTGATAAAGCGACATAAAATCCGCGGCGGTTAGAGGCTGCTCGCCCCCGAGGTACGACCACAAAATAAAGCAACTGATCAAAGTAGATCACCTATGTAGGAGGATTTGGAAGGAACTACTTGATTAAAAGCTAAAAAGTGTTGAAGGAAAAGAGGCAACGGTAGGCGAACTCCAAATTAGAACATCGTGGCATAAAATACTACTTCACCGGGATAAAAGCCATCGATATTCTCTCTCGGATTCGGAAGACGAAGGCTAACCGAATCCGGGATACGGTATTTCGAACACAAGCGACGTAGGTCCCTCGCCGTAAGAGTGGGGTGAGATTCTGACGAAGGATGCGACGATGACCCATCATCCGAGGAGGTCCATTCGAAATCGACATACACTTTTCTGTGTCTCGTGAAGATAAGACAACACACTGCGACTAGGGTGCCATGAGCCCCACAATGATTCGACAACTCAATCGGCTCGAGCCACTATCCTTGACCGTTAGACCGAAACATTCTCGGTGCGAACCTCGAAAAAACTTGCATTCTCCTGGATCACGGGCCTACATGACAAGATAAGTCACTACAAAAGCTA